CCAATGTCAGATGTGGCACTAGCTAACTTGGATCTGATTTTGTGCCTTGCAGTTATTGTTCTCGATTTAGATTGATCTCCTCCTCTTAATGCTTAGCAATCCCCAAAGATGCCGGGTTTTTTTGGTTGAGGAGGAGGGAGGGAATTTACAAAAAGAATAAGAGGACGACATTCTATTTAGCTCGTTGGTGAGTCGGATCATAAAGTTCCTTCATTAATTACCGAGTGAGTGAAGGAATGAATGGAAGAGTTTTGAACTTCACGAGCTCAGTGTCTATAAAAGTCTCAGCACCTCACCTGATGAAATTTGATCGTGATTGCTACAGCGCAAGTCGATATTCAAATTCAAGTGGACGATGGTTATGTAAGCGTAATTGTATAATTGAAGCACCCTCTTCCTTTTTGACGAGGAAGTAGCATCTGTCCTTCCTCGTCTTTAATTTCCTTTCTGTTCCCTTCTTTTTTTCATGGTTGCTTCAGGGCGAATGCAACTCATGTTATGTGTAATTTATGTAGTTTGTATGAAAAATTAGAGGGATTTTTTTGGGCCAACCTGGAAAAACATTTTCTATATTTTTTCTAGCACTTGCAGGCATGTTATTTTCTATGTCCACCCTTTTGATTGTGTTGCTTCAAGTAAAGAGACAATAATAATATGTTTCGTGATCAGCATAATGAAAAAGGGGTGTCTGAATGATAGCATAAAATACATCCAATCCAACCTAGCGAAAGTTTTAAGCTTTCTGAAATGCCACTTCAAGCTACCTACATCACACGAAAATTTCTTATAGTATTTCTATTTCAAGTCAAAAAAAAATAAATACTACACTGCTCTCTCTCCAAGCATTAAAAAGCTTAATTTTAGATTTTCATTTCATCCGAATACGATAACCGGTGTTTATTGATCTAAAATTGTTATAAAATCGATATACAATGATTTATTTAATTTTTTTTTGAAAAGTGTAATATCGCATTCATATATTGGAATTGCAAAACAGATGAAGAAAGAAAATAGCAAAATCATAAAAATATGAAGGGGGGGCTAAATTACAAATACAAGTATTTTCAGGTACCAACAAACAATAAGCTTTGGGAAGGAGAAAAAGAAAGCATCCGGGGGGGGGGGGGGGGTTGGGTACTGACTCGTCATCAGGCTCAGCAAACAACACTCCGCCCTCAATAGTAAAACGTATTATTAGCGGCGTCCGCCCCAGATTTGGGGATAGGCCCATATCCTTTCAACCTTAGGGTTTTAATTTTCCAGATCTGAACAACAATACTACTCTTAGGTCAACCAACCCCAATTTATCCCTTACCAACTGGCCCCTTTTCCTTTCTTCTGTAATTAGGAATAGGTTTTTACACTACTGGGTCTGTGTTCCCCTCTTAAGTTGATTATTGAGTCAAGACAGGATTTTTATTTTCTGGGTTTGAAATTTTTTTCAGAAATTGATCAAGTAGTTGAAGGTTTTGGTGTGGGGCAATATTGGAGGGGTGAATCCTAGCTGCCAATGCAATTTGAATCGAATTGTGGGAATTTTTCGGTGATTTTTGTGATACCGAAAAACTTGAACTTTCAACACTCATCCATGTCTTGGGCAGGCCGGAAGACATCTATCTCTCTACTTCTCTTGCAAGCTATCTTGACAGTACGAACTACATCTTATTTCTTGTTACTTTCTTATTCTTGTTACTTTTCTGTTTTTTGTCGTTTGAACTGATAATATGGGCTTTGAGTTTGTTAAAGTTGGTGTCTTGGTAATTTTCGCTGCAGCTCTTCTGGTATCCTTTGCTTGATGATTTTCTTTGTCGAACTTTCTTGGACTGTGCTTCGGTGCCGTAAAAATCATTTTTGAACTGTTCTCTAAATAGGGATTTAGTGCTAATTGTGTAATATATGTCCACCACTTAATATGGATTTGATTTCTCGAGATTTTTTTCCACTGAAAGCTGTGTAGCGTGTGGAGTTAATTTGAAGGATGAATATGTCTCCATTCAGGATATTTAAGTATAGTGAGGATCTTTTTGCGGTATTTGTTAGCTAATCTTGAGTGGTCGAATTAGATTTTAGGTTGAATTCATGGTTTGGCTTGTGCAATTTTATTTTTAGGACTGTTTGCCACTGTGATGAATGGTGGATACATTTCATAGCATAATCTTGGATGACCCGATACAGGTTAACTGTTGTTTATGCATTTGCCTGATGCCTGTTTAGTTTTTGGAAGCTTTATGCAGCTTTTTTCTGAGTTTGAGAAATAGAACAATAAGGAAAGATGATTTTATAATTGTCTGATGGCATGAACATGTGAACTCTTTCTTTATGAACTTCCATCATTCTTTTGTCTTTTCTCTGCTTCTACTGCATTTGTGAAATCTATATTGGCAAACATGCTTAAGAAAGAGTAAAGGATGATTTGCCGAAAAGAAAAAAAGAAAAACTCCAATCCTTCTTGTTCCTTTGACACTCAACATGGTAAACTTGTGGTGATTGCTATAACAATCCAAAGCTAAGGGATTTGTATCACTTATGCTTGTAAATGCCTCTTTTGAAAGTGGTTGGCTAGAATCCAGCCATGATATGAGCTACCAAATGTTATTATTATTTTGTGGTGTGCATCTCTTTGTTGATAGCTGTGTGTTGAAAGAAGCTATCTTGGAAAGGTTTCTTTAACTTTTTGTTGCTCAAAGCTCAGCTTCTTAGTTCTTGAAATTCATGTAGCTTGCTGTGCTATAGTTTTAAGTACATGCACGAATTGATATACGGAGTTATATGGTTATGAGATGGAGCTTAAAATGTACTTATTTATGTTTGCACTGGTCCTATTTCTTTGTCTGTTCTGTGTAAAGTTCATATTCAAAGTTAAAAAAAAAATGGCACTTTACTGTCATCGACTTAGAGGCTGATAAGCTTTTTACATGCTCTTTGGTGTCAGCATATGTGATCCAGCTATAGTGTATAAGGAACTCAAAAGTCAACAATTGTGGTTGGCTTTTATTTGGATTATAGCTTTGAGCAACCTCGCGTGCTTATTCTTTTTCTTTGTCTTACCACCTTCATGTCTTCTGAATCCAGTCTGACTACTTCTATTCCTTCCTGCCAAGATGAGGAAAACTGTAATAATAGTTCTCTTTGCTAAAAGTCATACTTTTTTTCCTGGAGCACCTCAATGCTGGCTTGAAATATTTTGGATCTAACTGTTGCAATAAAGGCTTTGCCATTCTGACTTGTTTTCCTTTTCTCTTAACTCGGTATTTCTTCCATCAACTTTGATTTGATCAATTACAGTTCTTCGTTTCTCTCATTGCTATATTATTGGACCTTTGATTTGTAATAGAGAAATTGCTTGTTTTGCTGCGGGATGGTCGAAAGCTAATGGGGACTCTTCGTTCCTTTGATCAATTTGGTAATTATATATTCTTCTTTTACTCTGTTGTTCAAGTTTTGCTAGCATGACCTCCCAAGGATTTTGTGAATGATGATTTCCTATCTCTCACCTGTAGCTAATGCCGTGCTTGAAGGCGCATGCGAACGTGTTATTGTTGGTGATCTTTACTGTGATATCCCATTAGGGTTATATGTTATTCGCGGGGAAAATGTTGTCTTAATTGGTGAACTGGTATGTTGCATCACTTGACCTTGTTTTCTGTTTGAGGTTTATTTTCAAATTGGAACTGAACCTTCCACTTCCTTCTTTTCTTTTGAATTTGATGTGATTGATCAGGACTTGGACAAAGAAGAACTTCCCCCACACATGACTCGTGTTTCATCCACAGATATTAAAAGGGTAAGTGCTACATTTGTGTTTGTTGTTGATTCGATGTTTATTTTAGGACTTTTCATGGTCTTTAACTTCATATCTACTAGTTTGCCCCGTGGTTAGATATTTCTAGTTAATTGTCTTGGAAGTGAACACAGTTATGTCCTTAGAGGTGTGAACTGGTGTTCATAGGACACCTATGATACCTTAGGTGTGAAGGACTGATCAGATGTTCAAATGTCACCGATCTATACTCAACTTCTCATGAAAACTTTAGATGTAACTACTGCATTACTTAATTAATTTCTGATCATTGAAGCTTATGAGCGCCAACTTTTTCAATTATTCAATTCTGCTTTCATTCTGCAGTCATGCATTGATAAAAGAAGTAAGACAGTAGAGAGATTTGTGATTTTTTTGTTTTGGGGGGGGGGGGGAGGTGGTGATGGTGTTGGTTGAAAGTGGATGGTGACTTTCTTCTGGGGGCGTGAGTTGTTTGCTGTATGACCTGAAGCAACTCTATACATTCATTAAGAGGTGGAACCTGGTCAGTTGTGTGTGGTTGGGTTCGAGAATGTGTCATCTTTGCTTGTTGACATAGCCTCAGTTTTCTTTTGCACTAATTCTCAAATCTATTAAGTGCCTGCTGTTATTCCTTCCAAGTTTTAGCGCTTGTGATGGATCAAAGTCAATAAGCCTAGGATACCAATGCAGGATAGCTCCGACACCTCTGGTATTCATTGTTTGATGAAAGGTAGAACCCCACCAAGACAGCCCATGATTGCTATCTTGTTTAGCTCTTTGACAAGTGTTTGCGGGCCTTTGCTTCTATTTACAGTTGCATGCAGTTTGTTTGCGGGCCTTTGCATGCAGTTTAGTTCTTGTATCTTCTTGGTAACGTATTGGTTTTTATTATTCAGGCACAAAAAGCAGAAAGGGAGGCTACAGATCTTAAAGGTTCTATGAGGAAGAGAATGGAGTTCCTTGATTTGGATTGATGTACATGTCGCTGATGTCCAGTCCTGCAATTATGCTTGAAATTGATGCCATGTCTTGCGCAAATATTATCGCGGTAGCTGGATGCTGGCAAATATGACTAGGGACTGGACGCTGATATAGCTACCAATTTCTCTGTAGTAATTCATAAACAAACAATTAGTTCCGTAAATTGGAAAAAGGAAATGTACTAGCGTTGAGTTAGTTTCTTTTTTATGCAAGGCTGGTTCGTATCCTCACCGTGGAGATGATGATGATGTGCAGAATTGCAGTTGATTTATGGGATTTTTTGGATATTAGCAGGCAGCACATCTGGGTTCTTCCATTTTTCTTTTATCCTGGTGTGGAAGAACTCCAGGTCTGTTTTTATATATATATTTTTTAATGTACGATTGCAGACTGTATAATTTTAGAGGGGACTTGGGCTTTTAATGCATTCCAGACATTATTAGGTCCAGCGCTTTGATGATTTTTTTTTTTATCCTTCAAATCAGTACTTTTGATTGTTTAGCAAGTGTTGGACGGATATAGCGAGTAGCCGGAACAATTCCTTGTCGCGTTATTGTAGGACCGTTGGTTTGTAAGGCGATCTCCAGTCGTCAATCATATTTAGCCGGTCAACTATGATGTATTAGAAAGAAGTCCTCGTTTGAATTAGCTATTTTTTAGAATGTTTTTGAAAAGCTTTGTTACAGCAGAGTTTTAGAGTATATTTTAGAATATTTTCTAGAATAGAAGAGTTTTTAAAATATATTTTTCAGATATTTTTTAAATTTTAAATTAATTTTTAAATTATCTTTAAAAATATTTTTAAAATTTTTTATTACATTTAAAAAATTAATTTTTGAAAAACACTCCAAAAATAATATGGGATTCAGTTGCTCGGAATTTCATTTCAGTCGCCATCACGAGATTCCCTACCGTCTGTGTTCATTCACTCGCTTGGACGGTGATGAGTGATTTTCGGGCTGATAAATCGACGAGTCAACGGCACAAGTACATCTGTTAAGATAGAGACATGATCGGGGCTTTATCAATCAGTTATGTAAAGGATCAAGAGTAAAAACAGCACTAATTGGACAGACTATAAATAGAGAGAAATTAAGTCAACAAGTTTCTCTCTTCCCTTTCAAAGAAAGGGAGGGGAGTATTCTCAAAGGGAAGATGGTATTTATAGCAAGAAAACTAACAAAAGGAACGATGAAACATACCGCTCGTTACTTGCAAGGAGTGAGTCTAGGGCGGCGGTGTCAGATATAAGTTTTGAGTATGAAAGCGGTTGCCGTCGTATCAACCTGTCTGATCCTAATCAACTTTTACCTGCAGGTATCATGTCGAGTAATCAAATAGATCCAACTAATCGAAGTGGACTCACCTCGAGGGAACGGAGACAAGGATGAACACCTAGATAACTAAGGTGCTTACCTCGGTCAAAAATATGTTGGATTGAGTAATCTCGACAAAGTGTCGAGCCGAGGAAGTTGAGGTGAGCGTCCATGGACGGCAATGGCAGCAAAGTTTATTTGTTTGGATAGGGTATTATTTGAAATATTATTTGAAATAATTACTGTAGCACTTTTTGTGATGTGATATATGTGAGATGAAAAGGTGGTTGGGAATATAAAAAGGTGAGTTGGAAAATGTGTTTATGATGCAAGCGAAATATTATTTGGGATAATTAATTTTTTTTTGTTTTTCTTTTTGTGGGTTATTTTCCCCGGAAAAGAACAGGAATCTCCCCACCGTCTTTTTGTGAGTATCGATGATCAGGAAGAGTCTTTTAAGAGTTATCCCGTGCAAATTCGAGCTCCTTGCAAGTGTTGTTGTGGGTTCTCCCGTATAAGTTTAGTAGATTTTTTATTTACTATTAATAATTAGTGGTGAAGACGTGGATTCCGGAGGGGATTAATAATTAGTGGTTCTCCCGACAGCGCCGACTAGCCTGTTTTTGAGTATTTTTTTTTCTTTAACTAAATACGGCAAATGACGAATTGCCGACCGGACACGGCACGGAAGATGGATTTGATCCGGTGCATATTTCTCCTTGAATGAGCTCGTTAATTTGGTTATTAAACCGTGATGTGATCTCAATTTGAATAAGTTTAATCCCGTCCGCACCGCACAATGAAAAGAAGAGATTTACTCCAGGACTCATTTTAACCATACCATGGTTTTAAATGTCTAGACCAACTTGACCACACACACAGTCACACACTGAGAATAGAGAGGTGAGGTGTGACACCGCTCATGTTAGCGAGGAGTCGATTGCGACTTCGACTTCGACTTTGACTTTGGGAAGTAATTTTCTGTGTCTTCATTCCTCAGCCAGCGCTTCCAGTCCTCAATTCTGCGGCAGTAAAGTAAACTAGTAGCAGCAGTAGATCCACCGCCATCTATCATCACTCAGGGCAATGTTGAGGAGGAGGTCAATCAAAGCGTTCATCTTTATTGCAGCATTGTTCTGTGCTGTCTCGTTGCTTCCCGGGAAGCTTCTGTGCATCGGTACCCCGGTGAAAAATTCGGCATCAAAGGCAATGCTTTCATCGTCCACGGTGGTAGTGAGGGAATTTACTCTTCTCTCCCTGGCTTCAACGCCTCTTCCAAACCCGATTCTTTCATCCGGTACCCCCTCCCCTTTTTCTTTTCCTCCTCCGCCCATTGCTGCTCCTTCCTTCTCTCACCTAGATCTCAACTTTATTTAACTCAATTTCGCATTCTTGCTTATTCTTTAGTTAGCTTTTGTAGTGGGTTCTGGTTAATTCTGCTCGCCCAGGTTGCTGCTGGTACTAAAATAGATATATAAAAACGCGGAGAAATTTAGCGGCCTGTGACTTTTTGGAGATCTACTGAGAAATGATAGAACCGCATTTGATTACATCTCTATTCGTTACTCCTACCAACAATTTGAACTTTCTCTTTTTCTTTTCTGTCCCTTTTTTTTTTTTTTTTGGGCTGCAAAAATTTTTCCAAGTCTCTATGCAAGTCTCTGTTGATAGTGATTTCAGTGCTTGATGTTGAATGAACATTTCCAACTTCTTAACAAGTTTCAATGGAATATCTTCGGTATGTCTCAATCTTTCTGGGCTTCCTTTAGTAGTAAAGCGAAATGCTTTTGGCTTTTGGGTCTGATTTCATGTCGGCAAAAATTCTCTATTCGTTCTAAGAATGGTTCCTCAAACTCGAGTGTTCATTGTATCTATTCTTTTGTTATGTTGTGGCTATGGCTTGAATTTCTAAAACGTTATAACAAGGCAGTGAACTCTTTATTCAGTGTATGACTTGGACACTGGGGATCCAACAGTTTGACCTCTTATTTAGTTGATAGTAATGCTTTCTTGAAAAGCCATTATCGTTACGTTTGGACGCTATCCGCCCTAATAATCGTATGGTTATTAGCTAAGAAACTTTAACTTGAGGCAAAAACTGAATTTCGTAATGTAAATTGTTGTCTTCTGCAACCTGTAATCTCACAGTTACAGAGTTGGCTCTCATGAATTTTTTTGCCATTATAATTGGATTTTTAAAATGTGTACTGCCCTTTCTGCATTTTTAAGTGAATGAGTCACGGCAAATATTAATGAATGATCAAATCAATTGTTTCTGCATTAACAAAAAATATTCTCTATTTATTAGCCACTAATAATAGTAAATGTAAACGGTATTCTCTGTGGATTCTCTTGTTCATTTAGCTTTAGAATTCTTTTAGGCAATCAGAATTGGGCTTTGTCCAAATCTTTCCGTTCCCAATTCCCTGTGCTATGGCTTAAGCAACTTTGTTCTTGGATTTGAGTCATTTTTCTGCTTTTAGGCCTCAAAACAAATGGCTTATCTTCACTTTCCTCTGATTCCAGTTTTGAGAAGATTGTATTTAGGAGGCCCAAAGAGTTTTCAAACTTCAGCTCGTGGCCAATTCATGCAGTTATTTTCGAGGTTGATGACAGGGAGACAATTGGGGGCTCAGCCTACGGGGGCCAAAGAGCTGTTTGTTGCACAGCAGATCTTGCAAAACTTGGAGTGTGTCAAACAGGGGGATGTCATTTACCGGCCGTCAACTATTAATCCTGGTTGGCCTCAAGTGTTTGATGTCCGATTTCAAGCTGATGAGCTGGATGCAGCACTACAACCAAGTTCCATCCAAATAACTAAAACTGGGATGTACAATCTCTACTTTATTCATTGTGATCTGAATCTGAAAGAGGTCACTGTAGAGGGAAAAACTATATGGAAAAATCCTTCTGGTTACCTGCCTGGTAGAATGGCCCCGCTTATGAACTTCTATGGTTTTTATCTCTTGCATTTGTTGTTCTTGGCCTATTCTGGTTTTCACAGTACGCAAGATTCTGGAGAGAGGTTTTGACATTGCAAAATTGTATTACTCTGGTGATAACGTTGGGCATGTTCGAGATGGCTTTATGGTACTTTGACTATGCAAAATTCAATGAAGCTGGAATCAGGCCCATTGGAATAACTGTTTGGGCTGTTACCTTTGGTGCTGTGAAACGTACAGTTTCACGTCTCATCATTTTGATGGTCTCAATGGGTTATGGTGTCGTCAGACCAACTTTAGGTGGCCTTACATCTAAGGTCCTTATGCTTGGAGGGACATTCTTTATTGCATCCGAGGTCCTTGAACTGGTAGAAAATGTCGGTGCTATAAGTGATCTTTCAGGGAAGGCAAGATTGTTTTTTGTTCTTCCTGTTGCAGTATTGGACGCTTTCTTCATTCTCTGGATATTTACATCTTTGTCTGCCACTCTGAACAAGCTTCAGGTAATTCTTAGGGTTCATTGCTGGAAACTTATTGAACAATGATAATGCATTGGTGGAAACATGTTTTGCTAGTCTTGTATGATAAACAAGCCCAGTTTGTCGTTGCTGCATGTTTATTGTTTGGTGTCTATAGCTAGATAAGCTTTTTGAACTCTATTTCTGGTGCAAAACATGGGCAGTTTACCAACTTTGCTGACATTGGCTAAATTCGCTGATTTTTGTCAAATTAGTTTTTTATTAAAAAAAAAAAAAAGAATTTTGGAGTATATGGATAACAATTAAGCTTCTTTTATTATTGAGGTAATAAGGTAGAGGTTTCTTCTTGTTGGAGATAACAATTGGAAGCATCAAAGAGCTATTCTGCTCTTGCATGCTTGACTTCTCATTTTCTGATCCATGGTAAGTGTGTCCTTGCCTGATTTTCTATTACAGGCTCGACGAATGCTGGCCAAGCTTGACATTTATCGGAAGTTCACAAATGCATTGGCTGTAGCAGTTATTGTGTCTGTTGGCTGGATTTGTTATGAGGTAATATTTGTTTTGGTCGATAATATACGGCTGATTGCATCATGATTCCACTTCCACTGTCCATGCATTCAATGAATGTCATAATTTAAACTTTCAAACCATGTCAAATTGGCATACCCCAACTTTCATGTTGCAGCTCTACTTCAAGTCAAGTGATGTGTACAATGAGCACTGGCAAAACGCGTGGATCATTCCAGCTTTCTGGCAAGTCTTGTCATTCTCTCTACTTTGTGTCATCTGTGCTCTATGGGCTCCATCTCAGAACTCGATGAGGTACAATACCTAGCTCCACATCATGATTTCTGTATTTGGTAATTGTCTTGTTTCATTTATAAGTCATAAATGGGGGTTTCCTGGTCAGAATCTAAGTGGCAACTGGCACAACAACTGCCCTGCTTCATTGTCTTTGAAATTCAACTTGGGATGATATCTCAAACCAAATCCATAATCAAATTTTGGCAGGCAGACAGAGTAACAGGAAAATGGCGGTATTTTTTTTATTTTTATTTTTTGGGGGGCTGGGGAGGTGGTGGGGATGAAATGATCATGTAGAGGTCAAAGGAAGAAAAAGCAAATAACGTGAGAACCTAGATTTGAAGGAAGAAAGTGTTGCTGACTTTTTATAGTCTTTTCCACATTTGGTTACTCCTTATCTAAAAGACATTAATGTCATCTTTTGGCAAAATAGTAAAAATGGTTTTATATCATCACTTTGGATCTCATCAAATAGTCTTATTTTATGTCTCTGAAGGTATGCCTACTCTGATGATGGAGGCGACGAGTTTGACAAAGATGATTCTTTGACACTCATAAAACCTTCCCTTATTCCTTCGAAGGATGTAAGAAGTGCACCTGAAGTGAGACTAGCGCATGGCGACAATGGGTTATCAAACGGTGATTTAGAAGAAGACAAAACAGAATAAATGTGGCATATGCCTCATTTGTGTTCTCATCAAAGAAGATAAATGAAGAATCGTGTACAAGTTACGAGGGTCGAACACTTAAAATCCACCCAGGGGATATTATAGATGGTTCGGTGTTTTTTTTTTTTTTTTTAAAAAAATTTTTATTTATCTACTTGGTTCGTGTCCTTGATCCTTTGTTGTTTTTCTCCCCCAATTAAATCTTGTTTTTATAAAAATTTGTTTTATTGAATATAATTAGCACACAGGAGGAGTCAGCAGGCTGGCATCTAAGCTCTATTTTGTTGTTGTAACATTAAGTGGGAATGTATGATCGATCATTCAGAGCTGTCTTCATTTAAATAAATTTTCCAATTTCTTCTTACAAACTAATGAAAAAAGAAAAAGACAACTCTCGCTTTCATTGTTGGGCTGCAAGATTTTGAGATGCCTAATGTGAAAATGATGGAAGCCAGGAGTTTGAACGAGATGACTTGTCGACGATGTTCATTATCAAATGCTGCTGTAAGATGAGACCAGTTCTTCGGCGGCGGCGGCGGCATGGTAATAGGAGGCTATGAAATGGGTGATTTGGAAGACGACACAACCTGGTAAGAGTTTGAAGGCGGCCATGCTTCGCTTCACTGCGTAATAGCTGGAAGAAACGCTTGCTGGGTGGGCGCTGAGGAATGTGAAACGGAACATAATTATGTAGGATTGTTTGTGATCTAGCGATTACACTTGTACTCCTACGATTGAGCTTGCCTTCATTTCTCGCAAAAGAAAATTATAAACGGAAGACGATCGCACCAAGCCCGGGAACTTCCGCGCAAAGTTGTATAATTAATAGCCTTCCCTGTGCGTGCACAACGGATTCACAAGTAAACATAATCATAGGCTCATCCGCGCTCTTAGTCCTCCTTTCCGAGTCGCGGTTAACCCTGCCTGATTTCAGAACCTATCAATCATATGCTGCTCCGGTGACGTTTTCCTCCGTTAGCTAATGGTACTGTTTTTGGTTATGAATTTTTATTTTATTTTTTCAAAAACCATTTTGCCTGCATCATCATAAACATAAACGCGCTATCAAATCATCTTTTTATATTTCCAATTATCACTCTGTTTCGCATAAATTACATCATAAAAAATGCTATAATAATTAATTATTTTAATTAATGATACACTATCCATGCACACACACAAACACAAGGGTCAAGTGAGCTAAAGGGATGATGCCATTAGTGATGCCGGGAAGCTCAACTTTTGGAGATCTACACGCAGCCAGAACAGTAGTGTTCTTATTCAGACAAATGTTGGCGCGGACTGCTGACACCCAATTCTGAATTGAAAAGGTAATCAGAAAAGCCACGGCCTCGTCCATTCTCGGTGGCGTGATTTTCTCAGAATTTTTCCTTTTTTGTCTTTATATTTAGGATTAAAATACACACAATTCCCTTGTAGCTTACATGATGCCACATGACCTGACTCTGACTGCCACTCCAAAATTTGAGCTACAGCCCTCCAACTGTACCAGCAGGTACAGCGGGCAGAGGAGGAACAAAAATGGTTTCGCTCTTGATACCAGATGCCAAGATTTCACCTTAAAGCCCTAGACACAGTAGTATGTTTCAATTGTCTATGAAGCCTAAAATGCTCCAGCACAAGTCTATTGCTGACATATTTAAGCAATGCACAAAACAAAATATATAACTTGTGCGAGAAGATGCGTGCTATAGCAAATGTAACCAAAATAAACACAATGAATCAAATGTCATTGTGATACCTACTCCAACAAACTGCAAATTGCAGCCCATTACTGGAATCAAATGTCATCCATCAGGAAATTGATATGGGATTATTAACCAAAACCTGTCATACAGCAGTCCTCTACACGTCTCTGTTAAACAAGATAAAAAACTCAGCAGATTCAAGCCTATAAGCAGAAAAAGCAAGTAAACTTGTGAAACCAGCTAATCTCACTGGAAAACGAATTTTACTTATTTTGATTATCTCGGTAGCTTAATGAAGTGCTTCATAATGCAGTTACAATCATCAGATGATTTCTTGCACTGATTTTAACTGTTGCAGGTCATCAAAGAGATTTGGGGCTCTGTTTCTGTGCTAAAGTTATTAAATGCATGAGAAGATATTCAAAAATAAGTTACAGCAAGTCCCATATCAACAAATGAAGCGATCTAAAAAACTAACAAGAAATACAAACAACACCATGCTTACAGAGATGAAGCATTCAGGCAAGAGGTTTAACTGACTCCGAAGAAGTACAGCTGGTAGTCCTGCTTCTTCAATGCCACCAGCTCATCGCGCAAATTCAGGACTCGACCTTTCTATACCATGTGAGAGCTAACCAAATGTAAGAATAACCAGAACCTCATACCCAAGCACTCCACAAAAAATTAAAAGAATAGCGTTCCTAGACTCTAAAAGGTGTATTCATCCACCCCAGCTTTCACTGAGATCTCCTCCTCAAGTGCTGAGACACCGGGTAGCCCTCGAAGAAATCCAAGACGGCATTCTCAAGATCCTCCACAGAGTATTTGATATAGTTCTCCGGATGCCTCCCACTCTCAATATGGCTCCTGAATCGTCCAAGAAATGATCGATAAGCAGGTATCAACTTCTCAGATACTGAAATTCGGAGCTCCTCTCGGAGTTGTACATCGGGGACCAACCATGTAGCCTGAGTCCTGTGTACCTCCTCAAACATGGCATTGAAGGTCTTAAACCTCTCTCTCAGGGCACTCTTGGACACACCGGATGAAAAGCTTCCACTCACGTGTAACCCCTCATCCCTCAAACAATACAACACTCTTACCCAAGTTGATCTCTGGTAATTAGTGGCCGCCAGCCTGAATTTCCCCGTCAATCTTTTCAAATAGTCATCCCCAATCATTTCCCTCAACTCAGGTGACCCTTTAATCTTCTGAACAATATAATGAACGTTATTCATCATAAACAAATGGGACAAGGATGCATCTTTATAATGCTTAGACTTGGCATCCAAATTGAATTGCAAAATCACAATGATCCAAATCAAATGAAGCGCCAACGGGGTCTTCCCTTCAAACTCCGTCAAGTCCATATCTGGGGTATTAGGATCCCCTGAATACCTCGAACCAGTTGACGGCTTCGACACAATCAATTCAATCAAAGTCTGCTTATAATCCGAAATCAAACTTATGTAGTTCATCACGTACCTAGTTAAAGGATGAATCGTACCTCCGGGGACGGGAACCTTGGAAGGTTCTCGAAGCACAGCGTTCTCGAATTCGGACAATATCCCCCTTGCAGCCTCGGCTAAGCGGGACAGTATCTCCACTGCCTGCACCCTGATGGACTCGGACGATTTGGACTCGAAAACAACCTCGATATCGGGCAACAAGTCGGAGAGAGCATCATGAAGATCCAATATCTTAAACAACTTTTCGGGGGATCGCCTGCTAATGCTAATAGCTTCAGCGAAGTTAAATAACTGCACGGCCGGACCCTTGATAGTCTCCATAAAGCAAGCATCATCGGAGGCCGTCCCCAGACCTTCAAAGATTTGTTCGCAGAGTCTCTTCTCACTAGCAAACAGTATCCTCACGCAAACTTTGGCGGCCCGTATCCACCTCCGAATCTTTGTCTCGAGACTTTCCCACTCCAGCCTCTGGATTTCTCCTATGCTGAGCTTCTCAATCCCTAGGCTTCGAAAATTGGCCTCCACGGCAGACTTGCGTGCGCTGCCGTACACCTGAACACACTCCCGGAGATACCCAGCGGCTATCATCCTCTCGGCGATGCTACGGAGGTCGCAGATGGCCTCGGGAGGTATCAGATCAATTTCGCGGATGCTGTTGGTGGATCTGTAGCTGGTGCTGCTTCCACTCTCCTGATGATCGAATTCTTTCCGGCGGGGGGTATCGGAGGCGTGAGTTGAGGAGCTGGTCTCGGTGAAGTCGTCTTCCTCGGTGTGCGGCGGCGGCGGCGGCGGCAAGCTCAAGTGGCTGTCGCTGCTGCCAATAGAAGCGGTGGAGCGGAAGGAACAAGAGCTGGGATCGGTCAGAGTGTCGGCTTCGAGAGGGGAAGTTTGAGCAATGAGAATATTGCGAAACTCGTCTTCCAGGCGGGCCATGGCGATCTGGATCGCGCTGTTGGCCTTAGCAGAGTCGTCTGAGATGCTGGCGGATTCCATTGACCGTTGGATTTCATCCACGGCTTGCAAGTATTTGTCGATCTCGTATCGATCGCCGTCGAAGATCATTCTGTCCCTGGCGTCCTCGGAGGCTGTGGAGTCCCAGCGGAGGATGATTTTCTCAGCTGACGCAACAGTCACGGCGTCGTTTTCCGGTGGCTCCATAGAGGGCAAATTTGGAAGCGGATGGAAGTAGAGGGGATGACAAGAGTTGAGGAAGCTTGGGGTGTTATCGTTCGTTGGTAAAGGGTCAAAATTTTAGCTACTGGAAGTCAGACGGACAATAGGTTGATGTCTTCTGTCCTGATGATGATGATGATGATGACGATGGATATTGCAAAACGGCCCAAAAACAAAATAATACTCACTCTACTTGCTCAACAATATTAATGTATTATTGATGGTACCGTGATTTTTATTTTCTTTTTTTTTTTAAGTGAATGAGTTTTGTTTGAATCATGAGAGGATTGTGAATGACAAAAAAAAAAAAAAAATTCCCTTAAGGTTATCGAATTGTATCAACAACATTTGATTAAGATGATTTTTTTTTTGTTTCGTCTTTAATTTTACAGATTATAGAGTGTTTAGCAGCCATATCGTTTCTTATTTTACGGGTTCTTTTCAAAAAAAAAAAACTTTTCAGCTTCACCATTCTCTTCATATGCCAAAACGAGGAAAGTGTTAAGGATTTAACAGGATTTTCTGTCCAATATTTTGTGTTCACTCTTCTATTCAATGCAAAACTATATAGTTTCATTTATTATATCTGCTTATGTGGCACATAAAAAAAAAAAAAACTGTTTAACTGCCTTATGTTTCTTCTTCTTTCTTCTTTTTTGGGTTTTCTGTATTTATACAACTTTGTTACAATTCTCAAAACCTTATTGCTACCATTACAATTTCCAAAACCTATTGCCACCGTTGTCAGCTTAGAAGACGAAGGAAGTTATTTAACAAAATAATTTTTTACCTTTTTTGGTGTAAGTAAAAGCAAATAATTTTGGAAACCTCTGTCCAATAAGGCAGCCAAACAATCTTTCTTTTTTATGTGCCACATCAGCATATATAATAAGTGAAACTACGTAGTTTTGCATTAGACAGAAAAGTAGACACAAAATATTGGACAAGGAATTTCGGAATCTTTTGTTTGATAAGGAATTTCGGAATCTTTTGTTTGATGACGAATGATAAAAGTTTAAAGATGTGACCATTTTTATTTTTGTCTAATACTACTACTGCTATCAAAACTTGGCTGGCCGCGGAATGAACAGCGATAGTACTCGTAATTAATTATTCTTTTGCTTAGATCCTGAAACAGGTAATCTCCAAGCAAAACTGGAATCACCTCAATTTCGAGCAAACGAAGTCAACTTACCTCCTGCATCAACAGCCCGACATTCATGTGCATGCATGCAACGTATGCAAAAGAAAATGCCACCCCTTTTTTTTTTTTGTTTTGGTTTTTGGGATAAAACAGAAAGAAAATGTTAATAAATAGAAATTTAATACAGCCTCTCAAAGCTGAAACAAGATTTTATGCCCTTTCTAATTTCTGTGCCTAAAACAGTAGTCTTGATAGAGAATCTGCTGTCGTACTAATCCGAAAGGCGTAATAATTTGCTGGTTTGAACTATATGACTAATTTCTATATATTACTCCTATTCGCCTGTATCCTGCTCTTATTCTTCTGCGCAAGTTGCTGATCTGATGATTAAGAACGAGATTACAAAAGTCGAAAGTTTTAAATTCAAATCCTTCTCATGTGTTTTTTGTTTCTTTAAACCTCATCTTTTCTTTGTTAGAAGTGGAAGGGGAGGGAGCGCGAACTGTATGTATTTTTTCATCCCTTTTTTCCTCGTTTTGATTTAGTTTGGGAGAAATAAAAATTAATACACTTTTTTTTTTCTTTCTTCATTTCCGATGCCTCTCGATTTTCTGTCCTAGCATAAGGACTAATTGAGTAAAGCTTAAATAAATGCGTACTTGTTAATCAGGTATCATTCATCATTTCCGTTGGAAACTAGTAATGAATCAGGCGTGGGTTGACCGGTGGCTGTTCGCCAATCGCCATGCATGTTACGAGGCCTGTGTGGGTTACGTTATCATTCCGTCCATTCTCCAGCTGTAATGACGTACTGCATGCATCACGTCACCATGTTCACATGCGCGCAGCCCTATCTATAACATCAAAAACAATTGTCGATTAATTAATGTGTACTCCAAAACTTCAGAACTGGCCCAAGGGTTTCAGATGGGAATTAATTACTAGTGGAAGTCAGAAGAAGATTTGGTGTAGTATAATTAATTATCTTGCTGGACAACGCTACAGTACTTAGGATTAAAGAAATTTGTTACTTGTCCTCATCTGTAGTAAACCCACTAAATTTGAATTCACAAATCAGCCGCCGCGCTGTGAATAATCAAGAAGTAACTACTGGAAGAAGAGGAATATGCGCTCGGTTGAACTGCGATGCTGTACTGATGCCCGGAAAGGAAAAGACGTAAAAGGGCCTCTTTTTCCTGTGTCGTGTAGCTAATGCAGATTTGGCTTCTAGACCAACCGGTTACCAGTCCATTATGAAATATGATGATTTTACAAGATAATCATGCTCAACTATCAAAGCTTACTTCTTCCTTGGTCCGCCCCCCCGCGGTGACATGATCGAATAAAAGTAATTGGGAATTCAAAAAAAAATTGATACTCCTAACCGGAACACAGAGAATATCTCAATTTTATCCCGACTACTCCTCCTGCGGGCGGGCTGTATGGGATCCCGCATGACAATTTTAGTATAGTAGGGTTCAAACTAATAACCCACGGCATATGATACTACCGCAAGCGGGTTACCGGTCGAACTCCTGCAGATGGCTAGTTTTGACATACATACGAAGAGGAAAGTATGTGTGCATATACACACACGCGCGCGCGAAGAGATTGAGAACAATAAAGTTGTCTTTGAAGCTATTAGCTTATTGCTCTTTATGCTTATGATATACTCCCTCGTTCCACTTTAATAATCCCGTTTCTTTTTTCACATAGTTTAAGAAAAAGTAGTTAATTTTGTTGAAAAAATAAATTTAGATTACTATTTTTCTAAAATATCATCACATTGAATATGGTACAACTTTATGGGAACTTGAATTGATGGTAAAAAAAGAATCAACTCTCATTAAATGGGATAGATTTATAGTAACAACTACTTACATTGAATAAGGGTATTTTAGAAAAATTAAAATACAACTACATTCTTTAATTGAAAGTGGACTATAATTTGGGACAGATGAAAAAAAAATACAGGACTATCAAAGTGGGACGAAGGGAGTATCATTTGGAACCCAATTAGCTTAACAGAAGTCCGAGTTGCATGGAGATGCATGTGGAGAGAATTCAGATTCATTACCAATAGATCCTAATTTAAACTCTTCAGGACATTTTGATCTCATCTTTAGGTCTAGAACTGTACCCTTTTGTTAAGAATTCTGACGAAATAATAATATGTTCTTTGAATAAAACTTCTACCCCTGCAAAACAATATAGCACTTACATAATGAAGTAATATTTTAAATGGTTTAGGTTGCAAATTTTTTTCTAAGCAAATATTTATTAGCTGCATTTTAAAAAAACAAAAAAAAATTCAAAATTTTAGGACACATTTTTTATGAAAATTACATCATGAGGAATGAGGTCCAACTTATTTTCAAGAGAGAAAATTGGTACCGGTTATAAGCATCTAGCATTTCCAATTCATCACCCTAAAATAGTTGTATAAATTTTTTTTTTTTTTTTAAAAAAAAAACACTAAAACAGAGCTTACAGTATGACTGCTTTGGAATTGTCTTTGAAACCTACGACTCGTAGAACCATTTCTCTTTGACAATCTAAGACAAAAAATCGTTGGAAATGTTCCCAGAGATCAATAGTCTTGTTCAGCATCACGGAAAACGGGGTCATTGATCACTCTTTTTCAACTTTGCTTCCCTCCACCCCACAAATTACAAAAAACAGAGAGAGATAAAAGAAAAACTGAAGGCAACAGGTGGAATCTGGCCAAGCAAATTAAAGATCAAATGCATCTTTCGGCCGGTTACATCGTGCAAGAAAGGGCCATTTTTGCGACTGGTCTTCAGCTTGCCAATGCCGTAATAAATGGGGCAATCCTAATTACCTGATTCATCTTCCCGATGAGCTGAGAAATTAACAGCCAAAAGCGACCCTTCACAATCTCAATCGAGGGCTGTTAATTTTTCATCCACATTCTGTTTCATTCTCCTGCATGGCCTTTGCTCCCGGCGAAAAGCAGATTTTTGGGAAGAGTCCAAAACTAATTATGCTTCAAATGGACTAGACACTGTGTCAAAGGCAAAACTGTCAGTTGTTGTCCGATGGCCTGGTCTGTCCTCAACATTGATGCTGTTGCGGCACTGGTCAGCACAAACACGTTGTGCATTTTGCTGTTGGGATTGCGATGCATCGGCTGATTCTGCACATCCATCTCTTAGTGACGGTAGTACATTAAAGGATCTAGCGCTCTGATATCCGGCTATTTGTATGTCCTCTATTCTCCTAATGGCTTCTCTAACATCCAGCCGTTGCTCAGGGTTATTTTCTGTGCATGCTGCACCAACGTGGAGTAGTTCTTCCATCTCGCTTCGGGAATCGCTCGAGCTAGCGATCTCTGGATCTGATATAACTCGGCCTCTCTTCCCTCAGCTATTGCTGATTTTGCCCATTGAACCACATCAGTCCCCCCAGTGCCACTATTGGAATATTGGGATGGAAACTTGCCTGTGATCAGCTCAAGAATGAGCACTCCAAGACAGTAAACATCGCATTTGGGGGAAACTGCTGATATTGTACAACCTCAGGCGACTTGTATGCTAAAAGGGATTCTCTGGCCTGACCGCTGATCAGAGAACAATAGCCATAATCTGCTACAATTGGCTCGTACTCGAGAGTTAGAAGGACGTTGTTAGACCTAAGATTGCCGTGGGCACCTCAAAGCTGGAAAGTTCGGTGTGGAGATAGCCCAACCCTGGGCTATCCCCTGAATTATCTTGAGACGTGTAGGCCAATTCAGCTCAGCATGAGAAGGTCCTCGATCCGCTGAAGAATCAAAGCAAATATGTGACTCAATGGTATAGTGCCCAATTTCAAGATACAGGGACTGAATCATTGCTGCTGATTGAATTTAAGGTGCACGGTAAGGAGTAATGGATTGGATAAGAGACAGATCAATTATCAAAAGTTAATGTAGCAGGGGAAAGGATTTCATACCATGCAAATGATAAAGCAAACTGCCTCCAGGAATGTATTCGTATACCAACAGCTTTTCGTCTTTC